GGAGGGTCCCCTTGTGCCACCGATTTTTGGGGTGGCACAGGGACACGGCTGCTCGCAGAGGGTCTCACCTGCCTGTCCTGCTGCCTGTGCCCCATCGACTGCCGTGCCTCAGTGTCCCCACTACGCACATCCCCCCCCAGGGCCACTGCTGGGGGAAACAGGGGTCAGGGGGGTTTGCCTCGCTCCCCAAATCAGTGCTCCCCATCCCTGTGAGCCATTTCCAGGGCTGTTTGCACCCAAAATCCCTCCTGGCCCGCTGGGATCTGTGACCAGGCAGGAAAAGGACAAACACCCCCCTCCTCTCCCCAGGCAGCCTCCGGGGGCTGTTTGACACTCCCCACCCAGAGCGATGCCACCATCCAAATTTCAGTCAAATCTGGCTGGTTCCCTGGGTTTTGCATGTGCCCCTGGGCTACAAGAGAGGGGGGCACTGGGCACCTGCCCCGTGCCAGCCTCACACCCACAGGTAAGAGCAGCCTCTGCCTCACCAGAACAACCCCAAAATCTCCTGGAGCCACCGGTGGGGTTGGAAACCTCCCCCAGGAGCGTGGTGACATCTATCCCCATCCTGGGGGACCCCTCTTTGGGGGTGCAGAGCAGAGGGGGTTGGGGCAGGACACGGCCCCACTGTGCCCATTCCCAGCCCCACAGGGCTCCCGGACCCCGCCATGGACGAGTGGGACCTCCCACAGTGGAAGAAGGAGGTGGAAAGCCTCAAGTACCAGCTGGCCTACAAGAGGGAGATGTCCTCCAAGACAATACCTGAGTGAGTGGGTGCCCACCTCCCCCCCCTCCATCCCGTCCTCCTTCCCATCCCTGTGCCCTCGGGAGCAGAGTCCGGCTCTTCTCCACCCCAAACTTCCCCCCTCAAATCCCCTGGGGGGGTCCCCAAATGAGATTTTCTCCTTTATGGCTCTTCAAACCCTGCAAGCCCCAGCAGCAGAAACCCACCAGTGTCCCCAAAGCCCCTCTCTCTGTTCCTCTCCACAACCCCCCCCCCGTGCCAACCCCTTTCCAGCCGCCCGAGCTCCGGTTGGGATGTGGCAGCAGCCACGGG